TTTTCCCATTTTTATCTTTGTAAAAGCAAGCCTAAAATTCTACTAACACTACTCCTATGGTGTGAGTGAATAACCTACAAAATTATGGTGACCCGTTGACATGTACAAGCAAAACCAAAACAAATTTATCACAAGTCGAGCCCATCGAAATTTTCAAAAAGTTTAAGGCATATATTTTTCCAATATCATTTTATGTCTTTTGAGTGGTTTTTACCATTTTTTAGGTATTTTACTCTGACTAAAATAACTAATTCTTTTCAAAATTCTTGAACTGACAGCTCACTTTCTGAAGTGTCAGTTATATCAATAAGATTTAAAACATTTAATGAAATGTCCTTGAATGTTGTGATGATTCTCCATCAATTAGTTTCAACACTGAAGTGGTATTTGGAGGCAAAAATATCACCTTTGACCCTAGGATGATGATGCTTAAGAAATGGTGGGTTCAAGGGAAAATTAATCATCAGCAACAAAAAAGAATTCCATTATTTTTAAAATAATTTTTCACTTTGAGTACAAAATAAAGTGGCTTTTAAATGACCAGGATTGTTTTATTAATTTTTCTTGTAAGCTCTTAGTTGTTCTACATGGCAAATTAGTGTAAGTTTTAATTCTGTATTTCTTCTTAATAACAGTTCTTTCTACTGTTCCAGATAATGCCTGACACTTCCAGCTATGCTCAATTTTTACAAAAGCCAGGTCAGACCAAAAATGGAGTATTGCTGCCAGTGGCATGCAGAGCTTTGGCAATGCCCAGGGTCAACTCCTTGATTGTATACCCCTATGACTCAAGTAGAGGGACCTATAGCTGGCACTGAGTAATGTGAGAAAAGAAGAGATTTTAAATATGTAAAAACAGATGAAACATGAAATAAACACTTTATTTCAAATTTCAAAACCTAAATTTTTATTTCAGTCTTTAATTGGATGCCTTCCCAATATAGATGCCTGGGGCTGTCCCAAGCTCCTCCCCTTCTGTACGCCACTGATTGCTGCCATATCTGGCTGCAGCTGCCCAATCCTCTTTTTCCAGCCTTGACAGAGTTTAAAAGAGTCTATATGTCCTTGATAGCGATGAATTACTTTCCATCTACATATGCTTTCCCCAATATATGAAACCCCACAAGCCTCTCACTACTCTATCACTGTTATCCATGAAGAAAGGTTCTAACAATCTAAATCCCTTAGTTTCACTTGTTCTGATCTTCACAATTAAGCCCTGCCATGCCACATCCACTGGGACATATCATTCCCATTCCCTTCATATTTCATTTTTTATGAAGGATGTTTGATTTGTGGAACAGACTTCTGAGATGATGTTTCCCTGATCACCTACAATCTTAACCATTTTGAGTCCATGATTAACTATTACCTTTCCTAGATATTCTAATAAACTACACTTACCTTCTCCTCTTAGGTTCATAGAACAGCCTCATTCAGTAATAGTCTACCTTGAGTGGCTATTGGGCCTTGTACTGGGTGAAAAATTAGTTTAAAAGAAAGTTTAACCTAGACAGTTTGAAACCTGGTAATGTTGACTCTTTTTTAGTGATAATGCTCTTAGCTCGCTGGCATTCACTATCAGAATAGTTCATGAATATTAAAATATGAGATGATATAAATTTTTTTCTTCAATGATTTATTCTCATTCTTTAGTGAATATTTTAGCAGCTTCTTCATTATCTTTAGTTAACTCTCCTTGAACCATAATGCTATACCAGTCTGTGCTTCTTTTATACCTGCCTAAGTAACCATTGCATGCTTAACTAACCATTGCACGAATAAAAAGTATTCTTTGAATTTTCTTTTTTCTTTTATTGAAGGATTTTGAAAAGGGATTGGACTTTTGAAAAAAATGACTGCTTGATTAAATGGCATATGTAAACATTGAATGTGGACATTTATTCATGATATTTAAAGTTTTTCCATTCACAGAATTAAACTGTCAGTATTTCTATTTATATCCAAGTAGAACTCGTCGGCTATGCCTATTCAACTTTGTTTTCATCTTTTACACTTGTGTTTACTGTTGACATATCAAATTAAAAATATCTTTGACAATTTTGCCATTTTCATAATCTTTAATGATTTGTTTCCAAAGCTATAGCCATTTTTTTTTCTTATCATTTTTCTGAATATTTCTCATTTTGATATTGTAACAGGACATTAACAGGAATAACAGAACTACAAGGGACAATCAAAACTTCACAAGCATAAAATTTGAGTAGAACTGTGTGGTAATAACAATATAATATCATTAATATATATATATATACATTAAGAATTGGACAAAGTTCGACAATTTATTAAAGACATTTTTATGTTTAACATTCTTTTTATAGATACAAGTATTTAAGTAAATGCTCTGTTTATAATAAACAGTATTAAATAATAAACAGTATTAAATGACGTGCCTTAACGTGGCCAAGTCGGTTAAGGCCTGTCAGCGTAAATGACGGTTCCGTATAGGATGCAGGTTCGAATCCTGTCAAAGGACAAATATTTTCTATGAAAATTTCTCGGACATTCAGGCCAGTAAATGTTATTTAATACTGTTTATTATAAACAGGGTATTTACTTAAATACTTGTATCTATAAAAAGAATGTTAAACATAAAAATGTCTTTAATATATATATATATATATATATATAAACTTGGTTGGTCTGCTTTCCTCACCCACCATATTCACCTGACTGTGTGACTGATAAGTGGTAACAAGTTATTGCAATTAATGGTGAATACATAATTGAATAAAATGTAATTGTACCTTATTTCTTTTAAGAATAAAATTGATAAACAAAAATGCAAACTATTTATGACTCAATGTAATATCTATCTATTTATCTGTCTATCTAAAGTATCTTTCTATGTATGTATGTATGTATCTATCTTTTTTTTTCCCTTTTTAATCAAATTTCCCCCAAGCAAGGCAATAAAGCCACTAAAATACAAGGGGTTGCTGATTGTGATAGAATTAGAAAATTGAAACATTAAGGAGCGAGAACAATAGAAGAGTAATCAGGAAGACGGTAGATAATAATTGACATTGCATTTAAATTTGTTTTCTAATCATTTCACCCCATGTAAGACAGTAAAGCCAAAGAAAAAAGAGAAACATTATTAAAGAGCGAGAACAATAGAAGAAGAGTAATCAGGAAGACAGTTGATAACAATTGACATTGCATTTAAATTTTTGAAGATCAAAGTTGGCTGAAAAGCTAGAAGAGAATTCCACAAATGAGAAGTGTGAGAAAAGAAACTGCTAGCATAGAACTTATGGTTATATCTAGCCAATTCAGCCAATTCATGTTGCCAATTTGGTACAGGACTTAAATTCATAAAATCTAGGTACCTTAGTGAAGAACTCATCTGAACAATTACCATGAAAGTAATTATAGAAAAGGCACAGGGAAGCAATTTTACAGTGGTAGTGGTATATTGCTGATTCTTCTTTGGAGTTTATCAAGAATCTCTAAATATATAACAGGCACACTGAACTATATTCTAAGCATGAAAGAATGGTAGACATATATATATATATATATATATATATATATATATATATATATATATATATATATATATAAACCATACTGATAGAAAGCAGAAAGGGGTCTCTCAGATGATTAAAAGAGAGTGGTTTTGTTTGGGAGGCATTAAATTTAACAAGCCATTTTTTGCCCCAGTTAACAACAGTTGTTTTTGACATCAGTCAACAATTTAATCTTATTGAACTGAGCAGACTTACAATGGAGACAGGAGTAAATGTTTGTATCACCAGCATAATCCCAAGTTGAGAGCTGATGTAATCCGGAAGATCATTAATGAAAATTAAAAATAAAGTAGGAACAAAGATAGAGCCCTTGGGTATGTCTGCATTAGTTCAGAATCAGTGCAAAAATTTGTTCAGAGGCACCATAGCTTTTCAACTTGTGAAGAAGACCAGTATGCCAAACCCTGTCGAAAACTTTTGAGATATTCAAAGCAACACCTCAAGCTTCACCACTCTTATCTAGAGCTTGATTGGTTCTTTTTCTGCAATAATTGTTAATACAACAGCAGTTGGCCTAGAGAAACAAAGGCCATGCCCTGCAATATTAGATGGTTAATTAATTCAGCATTGATTAGGGACTATAGAGGTAGAAGTCTATCTATCTATACAGGGTGCATAAAAAATACTTTTACAAACTTTGGGGACAGCTTCATCATACCAAAACAAGGACAAAAGTCCATATAAACATATGTCCACAAACCTTTCATTTTTGAGTTATTAAGTCTAAAAAAATGTCTATGATAGATGTCGCTGTGTTGTCTTATGGACTAGGTTACATTTGTCATTCATGTACTTTTGTGGGTAGTCTCTCTTCAATGTTTAGCATGTGTAGTACTGAGTTAACTGAGAATTGTGCCATTTAACAATGGGAGGATATTCATATCATGAGCAGGCAGATATGATTTTTACATACAGCCGTGTGAATGGTAATGGACACAAGGCTGCATGGCTATATCAGATAGTGTTTTCAAACTGAAATCAACCGAGTCATCCAATGTTTGCTGCTGTTTATCATCGAATTGCTGAGACAGAATCCATGGCACCACAAACTCTGAATCAAAGAATACGAGATCCACTTGTATGTATTCCCCTGACTGCAATCCTTTGGATTTTTATCTGTGGGAGCCACCTAAAACAATTGGTTTATGCAGCAGACATTAATAAGACAGAGATGCTTCATCAATGTGTCATGGGGGTCTATGAAACCATTCGACACTGTGTGGGAGTATTTGAAAGGGTCCACCAGTCAATGATCCAGTGGGTGTATGCATGTGTAGAAGCAAGCCAAGGACATTTTAAACATTTGTTATGAGTTGCTGTGTTGAGGCACAACGATAGCCTTTTCGATATTTTTACCTTGTTTTGGTGTCAGGAAACTGCCCCCAAAGTTTGTAAAAGTATTTTTAGTACACCCTATATAAGCATTTACCAACTTGTCAATGTCAGTATCTATCTATCTATCTATCTATCTATGTCTAAATCTGTTCATATCTATCTATCTCTAAATCTTTTCATATCTATGCATCTATCTATCTCTAAATCTGTTCATATCTATCTATCTATCTATCTATCTATCTATCTATCTATCTATCTATCTATCTATCTGTTCATATCTATGCATCTATCTAACTACCTATCTCTAAATCTGTTCATATCTATCTATCTATTCATCTATTTGTTAAGTTTGTTTCAGCCTATTATTTTGCTTACTTGCTAATTATTTCATTCTCTTTCATTTTTCTCTTTTATACCTGGTATAAAATAAATATGGATAAATTCTCACTTCTATATCATATACACTTATATACATATACACACAGATGCACACAGATACTGTATTGATTGAACAAAACATCATATAAAAACACTGGCATTAGCAATTTTTCTATGAGTCCCTTCCTTCTTTTACTATGAACACCATTATGAAAAGCTCACTCCCAAAAGACTACTTAACAGAGAAATATCAGTAACACACACATTTAGAGATTAGCTGTACAAAAGATACAAGTCAAAAGACACAGATATGAGCAACCCTCTCGCCATTACTGAACCAATCTCTCAGGCACATAATCTCCAATGAATGATGACATAAAATATTTTCACAGTTAATTACATTTTCTATTCATCATTTTCCTATAATTAGTAAATGTTTGCCTCTCTCAAATGATGGGAAAATAGTATGAAAATTGTGAATCATCTTCATAAACACATTTAATGGACAGAATGGAGAATAACTGACTGTGGCTTCTTAGAATAACTTTTTTGGCAAACATGAAGTGGAAAGATCAGTTGAATCAGTTGCTAGGTCTGCTGCTAGAAAAGTTGATTCCTTGTGCCATGCTAGACAATTTTTCACATCTTACCTATTTATAAATCTACCATTCATCAATGCACTGAATATTGCTGCTGCTACATCTGGTCTGGTGCTTCTGCTATGTATTTAGAGATTCTTGATAAAATACAAATGTTATTGTTCCTGACCTGGCATCTCGGCTTTGGTCAAATTTCCAACACCTAATGTAGATTCCCTGTGACTTTTCTATAAATACTTTCATGGTAATTGTTCTGATGAACTTTCCACTATGGTACCCCACAGACAACGAATTGTAAATATGGGAACTAGTTAGTATTTTCATAGAGACAAAGAGGTATTATGGTGGTTGTAGTAAGAAAGGTGCGAATGAATGTGTTGTTTTGGTGAAAGGAATATTGTTCGTATGATTGGGTCAGTGTTTGCGGCTAGCTAAGTTATAGTTAAGACAGAAGAAGACCATCCTTTCCCCAATCCCCTTTTTTGGCCTTGTGCCACATTTCTGTATTAAACAGAATAAATATCACTTTCCACTATGGTACCTAGACTTTATGAATTTAAGCGCAGTACTAGATTGGCAGAAAGTTCTCATCATTTTACAGTTGAAATGGCTCAATATAACCATAAGTCTATGTTAACAGTTTCTCTTCTAACACTTCTCACTTGTGGAACTCTTCTGTCAACTTTGATCTTCAAAAATTTAAATGCAATGTCAATAGTTATCTTTAATTTTTTTAATCCCTGTCCTTTTATTGTTCTCTCTCTTTAAATAATATTTTTCTCATATTCTTTCACAGTCAGTATCCTCTTGCATCTTAATGGATTTATTTCCTTGTTTGGGGTGAAATGATTAAAAAAAATGGAATCCATCATCTACTAATTGAAGCTTGTACTAAAATAAAAAAAAAACATATCAACATCTCTGTTTCTTTTTTCAGAACACTGTGAATACTAATTAATGACAAGTCAAGACTAGATATACATTAAGCAAATGGTTCATTAATACTTGCTACTTATACTTCAATATACTATCTTGCATGATAACTTATTACATATATATAAAAATTGACATTTAGATCAGCACCTTGTGCTGACAGTCTGTTTCATGTTTGAACCCAATCTTTAGGCCATGTGTGTTGTGTTTTGGCTTAACTATATAGTAGAATAAAATTGATAAACAAAAGGGAAAATTATTTATAACTCAACATAATATCTATCTATCTATCTATCTATCTATCTATCTATCTATCTATCTATCTCTTTAGGCCATATGTATTGTGTTTGCTTGACTATATAGTCAAGTTAAAGCACATGGCCTGAAGATTGCATTTAAACATGAAACAGACTGTTGCTGCACTGGATTGGCCTCAGTGTTCACTTTTATATTTACATACATTCTATCCCTAATCCTGAGCACTTTTACTCATAAATATAGCATACCTTAAATTTAAAAATATCTTTTCCATTTTTATTTTATATATATATATATATATATATATATATATATATATGTTAGTAATTTCCACCCCCAAGCAAGGTGATAAAGCCACTAAGACACAACAGGTTACTTAGAGTGAAGCAAACTAGGAAAATATTATTGAGGAGAAAGAACAATAAAAAACAGGATTCATGGAGATGATGATTGATGTTGCATTTAAATCTTTGAAGCTTGTACTTGAGAGGAAAGCAAGAAGCTAGAAGAGTGTTCCACAGTCAAGAAGTGCAAAAGAACAAACTACTAAAATAGAACTTACAGCTACACTTAAATATATGAAAATATATCAGAAAATGCCTTGCATGAGATAACTCGCAGTCGGCATGAGATAACTCACAGTTGGCATCATAACAAAAACTATAAACCACAAGTTATTTCATGCCTGGCAGTCAATTTGTCAAATAGCAGGGTAGACTGGGCTCTCTAGCCTTGGGTGGCAATCAGTATAATTGACAGAAAACTCTGAATTCCAAATCATATAGAACAATGGGAAACCACTCTATTCTTTCCCCAAAAATGCATGGCAGTTCACAGATAAAGAAAATTAATCTGTGGAGAGGCCTGATTATTTACATTCTGAAGAGATGTGGTATTTAAAAATATATATACATTTATATTTTTATATGTGTGTTTATATAAATCTATTTATTTTGATTTAATTTCAGCGTGTAATTATTTCTTTTTTGATTTTATTAGTATCAATGTTACTAAGACTAATTGTGTTACTAAGACTAATTGTGTTACTAAGACTAATTGTGTTACTAAGACTAATTGATCATCATTATGCATTCTGTTTCTGTAACTGAAAAAAATAAACTTTTTGGCCCATATTTTTTTTTCTTTTTTCATATTTTAAAAATTATTATTTAATTTTGTTTTTAGTGCTTTGACAGAGTTAATTACTTTGCCAGAGAAATTAAACGTTTATATATTCCTCTTCTAGTCTGTGAAACATTGTAATTTAAAAATAAGCTCACCTAACTCAATTGATGCAATGATTGGGAGAAGCAAGTAGCATAAGGATTAATAGTACAGAGAATGCAAAATGATAAACTGAGTTCAAACTCAAGCTGGGATCATTTATGTTCATCTCATTATAATGCCATTGAGAAAGGCATTAACCCACTTTTCTCCCTATCTATAGCTAAATAATAGAACAGTCCATCTTGGATGCACTATGCCAACAATCCAGACCTTATAAAATTTCACTTGCCATTGAATCTTCATTAGCTTCATTTGATGATCATGTTCCCCTATGATCCATGAGAAGGCTACAGGCAGATTACATATTACGAAGGACTTTATGTAAAATGTGTGTTGTCTTATGTTGTCTTACATTGTCTTTTTTTCTTCCTTTTTTACAAAAGAGCTCAATGGAAGATTTCATGAAGCCATTTCTGACATTAGGTCTCTCTTTGGAATCCAGAAGAAAATAAGTATACAACAGAAATCAAAGGAAATAATAATAATAATAATAATAGTAATAATAATAATAGCCAATGCTTGCTAACTAGAAATTATCAAGCACATATACTAAAATATTGTGTCAGCCCAAAATGCAGATTCTGTGATAAATATCCAGAAACGATTTATCATCTTGTATCAGGTTGCACGATATTGGCACCCACTGAATATAAAACCTGGCATGACAGAGTGAGCCAATATCTGCACTGGAAAATCTGCAACTTCTACAGGAAGGAAACTGAAAGAAAATGGTATGAACACCAGCCAGACCCGGTTACGGAGATAGGATCTGTTACAATTCTATGGGACTACACAATACACACTGACAGAACAATCAAAGCCAACTGCCCAGATATTGTTATTAAAGACCACAAACAAAAAAAGTGCCTCCTTATTGATATGGCAGTCCCTGCTGACTGCAATGTATCTTTGAAGATATTCAAAAAACTGTCAAAATACAAGGACCTTGAAATAGAAATCTCAAAAATGTGGCATATGGGAACATCAACAATCCCTGTTGGAGTTGGAGCCCTAGGACTGGTTGGAAAAGATTGCAGTAGACTAATTGAAGGGATTCCTGGAAGTCCATGCCTCAAGGAGATACAAAAAATTGTTCTGACAAGTACAGCCCACACTTTACGAAGGGCTTTATCTATGTAATATTTTTTTTGTCAGTGGAGAGTGTCATGATGCCATTTCTAACCTTAGGTCCCTGGGCGGGACCCGGAAAGAAATGTGTAAACGCCAGAAAGCAAAGAAAATAATAATAATAATAATATTAATAATAATGATAATAATAATAAAATTGTTCTCATGAGTACAGCCCATACCTTACGAAGGGCTTTATCTGTGTAAAATATGTGTGTGTGTGTGTTTTTTAATTGGTCAGTGGAAAATGTCATGATGCCATTTCTAACCTTAGGTCTCTGGGTGGGACGTGGAAAGAAATGTGTACACACCAGAAATCAAAGGAAATAAAATACTACTACTACTACTAATAATAATAATAATTCCATTGGTTCTGTCCTCATGTGATGGAGGACTCTATCTATAAAATAAATCCATCAAACTTTCATAGCAGTCCATAGTCAAAGGGAAGAACTTGGCTCCATGTGTAAAGAAAGCAGGATATTAAGGAATCATTATGAGGGGTGGGGGCTTTGTGAAAGGTATGAAAAGGAATAAATAAATATGTGTACCAAATTTCTGGTGACCCTAAAATATGTGAATGGCAAAAAAGTTCTGCTGGTGGATAATTCTCACATCTTACATAGATTTCTCTCCATGCAATGACCACAATTACATTTTTTCTTCTTTACTACATTGCATGTTATTTGTTTGCATTATATGATACAAAAAAACTTGTTGTCTCTTGAATTCTATGGTTGAGAGTTGGAGGCAACTCATACAAGACAAAGCAAAGCAAAATAATAATAATTTAATGTTTTGTATCTATCTTATAAATTCTGTCTAATCTTTTTAATGCACCATACTTCTAAAAAAGCTAACTCATAGAGAGAGAGGGAGATAAAAAGAGAGATAAAGGGAACTACACAGTGGATAAATTCCAGAGAGAGAGAGAGAGAGAGAGAGAGAGAGAGATCTAAAAATCAGATAAATCCCAGAGACAGTGGGAGAGAGAGAGAAAGAAAGAGAACTATACACTGGATAAATCCCAAAGAAAGAAAGAAAGGAAGAAAGAAAGAAAGAGTGGAAAAGACCAAATTTGAGGATTTGAATAATAATAATAATAATAATAATGATGATGATAATAATAATGAAAAGAAGAAGAATACAAAAAAGAAGAATACAAAGAAGAAGAAGAAAATAATAAGATGAAGAAGAAGAAGAAGAATGAGGTATCTGAAGCCAAAAATATTATGTTATTAGTAGGGTGCTGAGAAAGTTATCACAAGGAGAAAACAAATATGTGGATTGAATTCCTGGGAGTCCTAAAATATAGGAATTGCAAAAAAATCATAATCATGAATACTTCACCCATCTTATGTGGATTTTGTGTCTGAACTTTTAATGCACCATACTTCTAAAAAAAATTCAACTCACAGTGAATTTCTCCATTTTATAATATCTTTGTTGCAATAGGATCACTATCCAAGGAACACAATCTCGATAACACAGATGCTATCACTGAGTATGAAATCAAAACTATAAAGAAATTTTGAAGATAAATGTGCATCAGATCAGGCATGGCTGGGTTTGTTGGGTTAAAACCAGCAATATGACAGAATGTAAGCATTAACCTTTTTATTTCTTGCTCTTTGCAGTTGTATAGATTAAGCTACTTTCATTTTACAATTCAATACATAAGCATAACTTCAGTCGGACACACAGAAATCATGTTCCTCCTTGCACAATCATGTGAATTACAAGAGAAGAATGTCAAAGTCTTGGGGTACAAATAAAAGAGAAAAGGGAGGAAAAGTTAAACAGCTGCATTAACTCAGGTGTGCAATCACTGGATTAATAATACAACTGGCTTCTTTTTCTACAGCCAGCTATGGGCAAAGATAAAGAACTTGTGGGCAATAGTTATAAAGAAAGACCCAATTCTACTATTATAAATTAAAAATGTATAGCAGAAGATTTATGAATAGACTAACAAGGTTATATGGTATAGAAAACAGTTTCCAACTTCATTAATGTTATACTCATACTATGTAACATGATGGCAAAATAAATCAAATATTTATAGTTTCCACAAGTATTATCAACAGTTATAGTTAATTCAAAAATTACATTAACTAAGGGAGGTAACATTACTGAGGAGACTTACATTACATATGCTGGATTCAACCTCTATTGCATAACATTTAAAGGAACATTCCTGTCCACATTCATGATTTAGTGAAATATTAATTGACAATACAAGTATATCCCACCCTGAAAATAAAAACAAAAACTTTAAATTCTTGAAGCCTTCTATATAAGAAAGATACAAATAGCACTAAATAAGATTAATTATAAGTATAGCAACAGTGTTTTAAAATGTTTATAACAGCAAGTTTTTAAAATAACAAAATTGTAATTATTTTTAAGTTACAATTATAACAGCAATGTGTAAAAATACTTAAATTGTAAATTTAAAAGAAAAATTACAAATATAAATTAAGTTACCTCCTTTGATAATGTTAATTTTTGTATTAACTATAATGGAGCAAGTTTGTATGTGTTTTTAATTGTAACACAGTATGTTTTATACACATTTACAAAAAAAATCACAACTATCAATTACATTAATTTTTATCTTTGCAATTCACCACTGAAGATGATCTTGGATGAGGTTGAAAGTACTTGAGAAAATAAAAGAAATGAAAAAACTCAGGCGCCTTCCTTAATGAGTTCAATAACAATATTAAGAAATTGATCCCTGAATTGGAGAGAATTAAAGTAAAAGTAAATAGACATAATATGTCTAGATTATTCAACCAAACATGCTTGAATATATATATATGTGTGTGTGTGTGTGTGTGTGTGTGTGTGTGTGTGTGTGTGTGAAACTGGACTCTCCCATCATTTTCAACATATGAGAGTACAGCAATTCAGTTTTTAGAACTTAGCAGCCAATACTATCCAAACATGATTAGAGTTGTCAAAGGAAAAGAAAATCCCAACAGAATATCGACTCTTTTTCAGATTAGCGAGGTTGTGCATGGGACCAAATCACCTCATCCAGTGTAACTATTCTATTACAGTTTCTGTAATACCGAGATGCCTTATGTGCCATGAGGCACCAAACAGTTCCCATAGCAATACCATATTGGCAACATACTTTTACATCTTTATTTTATTGAATGTTTTAAATAAAACAATGATGAGAGAAAATTGCTTTATTTTTTATCCTTTACTACTCATCTTCCTCCTTAATTCAGGGATGATAGTTTTAAGCCTTTTTTCAGCTAGAAAAGTATTTTGTCCTTGTTCAAGAAATGAGTTAATCAGTACAAAAATAGAAACACTTATTAAAGAATTGTTTTTATCTTTTTAAATTTGTTATATGATCAATCAATGATGGATGCTGTTTTGCTTGATAGGAACAACTCTACAAGTAAACCACTGATTGACATCAAATGATCAAACAATCAGCTCAAATGATTTTCACTGAATGACTGATCACCCCCTGATTGTCTTCGCCCTCAACTTGATCAACTAATCAACAAAATGAGAATTGACTATTTCTTTCATTTGTCATGTAATCTTTATAGATGCCCTTCATTAAACAAGGTTAACTTTATTTTATATATATATATATATATATATATATATATATATATATATATATATATGTGTGTGTGTGTGTGTGTGTGTGTGTAAATTATTTTCAGATAGAGTGTATCTCTAAAGAAACAAAATGAATAAAAATTAGAGGAAAAACTATTCTTAGCCAACATGTTTTGTCCACTAATGGACTTTATCAATGCAAAATTTTTACATTGATAAGGTCCCTTAGAAGATAAAACATGTTGACTACGAATAGTTTATCCTCTTGTCTTTATATATATATATATATATATATATATATACACACAAACACATATATATATATGTGTGTGTGTGTATATATTTATATACACTGCATGCCAAATTATTATTGAGATAACTTTTTTCTAATATTTCAAAAACCATCCAATCAATTCACAAAAAAGTTTCACACAATGTTGGCAACACTGACCTGCGCAATCACTGAAATTTTCGTACTGATCTGCACAATGTAAACAAACTTGCACCATATTTGCTATCAGCACGGTGATTTGAGCATGCCAAATTATTAAAAAAGTGTAAGAATTTAGTGAAAAGATGGGCCATAAAAGCAGTTTAAGTGATGCTGAAAAGAAAACTATAATCTCAGAACTCTCAAAAGGTAAATCTACCCTAGAAATTTCTAAAATGATAGGGAGAGTAATCAAACAGTGAAAAAGTTCATCGCCGACCCTACACAAGTACACAAAAGAGCAGATAAAGGTAAGCCGAGTGTTATTTCACGTTGTCTCATGTCATGACTTAAACGAGAGGCCATGAAGAACCCTGGACTTACCAGTCAAGAGCTTTTCAGTTGCATGGGAATCCTGCTGTGTCTAAAAGTACTCGGTGTCAGTATCTGAGGGAAATAGCAACAACAGTCAAACTTGTATCAAAGCCTCCGTTGATGAGTAATCACATTCAAAATCAACTGAAGTGGGCCAAGGACAATATGAAGATTGACTTCTCTAAAGTTTTGTTCACAGACAAAACTCGAGCAACACTCAATGGGCCAGATAGATGATGCAAAGGCTGGGTAATGAATGGACAGAATCGCCATTAGCATTTGAGACACCAACAAGGCAGTGGAGTCATAATGATCTGGGGTGGTATTATTGGAAAAACATTAGTGGGCCCATGGAGAGTACCAGATGGCATCAAAATACTGCTGATGCATACATAGCATTTATTAAGGAGCATCTTGAACCGTGGATGAAAAGGAGAAAGGGTTGCCTTCAGAAGGGCCATTGTTTTTATGCAAGATAATGTACCCTCACATGCTGCTTACAAGACTACTGAATATTTGAAACAGTTAGGCTTCAATGGACCTCAAAATATGAAGTGGCCAGCAAATTCTCCGGACGACAATTCAGGAGCAACGCTGAGTTGTGGAAAGCAATTCTTGACTTATCTCACGGCATTACAGCAGATGACATCCTACAATTAACAAATTCTATGGATCGTCGACTTCTTCAAGTAATTTCAAAACAGGGAAAGCACATTCCCTATTAATTTGTTTAAAACTGTGGCTTTGTTTGTATCTGTTATTATTTGTTTGATTATCTTATTTATTACTTCTTTTGATCATAAACATTTACATGCAACATTAATAAACGTTTTGTTGCTCAATTCTGGGAATTTTACTAAACCTTTCTAATAATTTGGCATGCTCAAATATGGTGCCAGTTTGTTTACATTTCGCAGATCAGTATGAAAATTTCAGTGATTGCGCAGGTCAGTGTTGCCAACATTGTGTGAATTGATTGGACGGTTTTTGAAATAGTAGAAAAAAAGTTATCTCAATAATAATTTGGCACGCAGTGTATATATTGGGGAGTCTCCCATTGTATTTGACATATGAGGGAGGGTCAAGCAGTTCAGTTCCTATGAACTGACAGCCAGCACGTATGATTTGATTATAGTCATGAAGGCTTTGTGCAGAAGCAACCAGACTTCTTGAAGGGCCAAATACAGAGACCTGGTGTACTTCATGTCACAAGGTCCCCAAACAACACTCCACAGGTTTTGAATTCAGAGTTGTCCTTCTCCTAAACCAGTTGCCATCCAAGGCTATTAAACCCAGTCTGTCCTGTTATTTACCCATAGCTGGAGGGAAAAGAAGAGGATTAATACCTTTACCAAGGGTATTAGCACATAAGTGAATGTAATGGATTTGACTGGATTTTGAACTCAGCTCTCCAATTCCTCAATCCAAACAACTATCCACTACTCCCACCATGCCTTCTATATATATCGACTTTCTGCTGATATATATATATATATATACGAGAGGCCAATATTATTCATGATCGATGACATTGCAGAGTCGTCTTTGGATTTTATTTTATCAAGGATCTCTAAATATTTAGCTAAAGTACTAGACCATATGTGGCAGTAATATTCAAAGCATGAACAAATTGTAGACTTATAAATATGCAAGATAGATTTGGGAAAGAAAAATTTTCCAATACATCACAGTGAACTTTCCTAGCAGTGGACCTAGCAATTGATTCAATATAATCTTTCCACTTCATGTCTGTGGAAAATGTTAGCCTAAAAAAGATCATATAGTCACACTCTCCTGAAGGTTAGCATTAACTATGCCCATGAAAGGCAGGAAGGGTTCTTTTTAGATGATTAATAGCGAGAATTTTCATTTTGTAGACATTAAAATTAACAATAAATTCCTTGCCTCAGTTAACAACAGAATGTAAATTTTTACATCAGCTGCCAATTTGACCTTATTGAACTATTAAGACAGGAGTAAATAGTTGTATCATCATAGATACCAAGTTTAGAACTAATGCTATCAAGGAGATTGTTGATGAAAATTAAGAACAACATAGACCAAGGATAGAGCCCTGGAGGATGCCTGAATTCATGTAAAAAAGATCTAGAAGAGTAGCCATTCAAGAAAACTCTCATTTCATGATTTGATAAGAAAGAATATGCAACTATTGTATTTGCAATTTATTGCATGAAATATCTTAAAACATAAAGCAAAATTATGCAAATGTCCACTTGTTATTATATTAGTAAAATAAATATGCAAATTTCCTTTGTTTGCGCAAGAACATGCTGCCATTTAGCAAAAGAATAGCACACTATTGTAAAACAAGTTATTTTATCCATGGCACTAAATTGATGTCTTCCTAAGATATTATTTTGTCTGTAGCATCAACTAGATTAAATTTAATCACAAAGAAGACCTGAAATTATTTTGGAGTAGTTAAAGGAAATGCTCAAAACATTATATCATTTTGCGTGCTTGTATAAAATAAGAAAATGAAAAGTTGAGGAATTTACTTGTAGAGAAATAGAAAATATGGTATTGTAATAAAAATTGAATCTTTAATGATTCCAGAAGCAAAATAAACTAATTTTGTTTGTTTTTATTTTTTATTTCTGAATGCAAAAGAAAAATCATCAACACAATGAACCTAAGTTCCTGCAAGCCTTTTTGAAAACTCATTTTCCACGAATAATTCCTCCTCCTCTTTAAAAAGAAAAAAGAGGATAAAATTATCTGCTGTCCTCCTGATTACTCATCTTTTGTTCTTGCTCTTTAGTAATGTTTCTGTTTTCTAATTTTTCCACACCCACTAACCCCTTGTGTCTTAGTGGCTTTACTGACTTGCTTGGGGGTGAACTTGATTAAAAGAAAAAAAATTAAAAAGAAAAATTCTTATTCTTTAAGCTGAGATATTAGCACAAGAAACAGCTTTCTTCTAGTTAATATTAAATAAACATTCATAGCAAAATGTTTAGTTATACATTCAGATACTTCGTTGCGATCATGGCACTCCACAACTATTCCTCATAGCCTCATTAGCAGAGTTTCCCCCTTTCTCAAGTCTCCCACCCATCCATTCATACAAGTCCATCAGGTAATTGACCTGCTACCTTCTCCAATCTCTCTTACCCTCAATGTGCCCTGTGAGGATTAACACTCATTTAAAATCATGGCTATATAGCATTGAAACACCGGTCCCTGTATGATCACTGAAGTTAAGCAACATTGAGCCTGGTCAGTACTTATTTAGGAGACTGCTTGTGAATACCAGGTGCTGTAAGTTTGGATGCGTGGATGGTGTAACAGATAATGCTTCGGATTTGTTAATCAGAGAGCAGAGTTCCAATTCCCATTGGGTTCATTATATTCACTTACATGCAAATACTCTTGGGAAAGGTATAAATGCATCTCTTCTCCATCCAGTTATGGGTTAATTAGTAAGACTTGTATCATTAATTTTCAGTATTATCTCTCAAAAAAATTCTTATAATCTAAAAATATTTTCTGACTTTGAATAACCTGCAAAAGGTTGATAAGCTGTAGAAAACGGATCAATCATTTAAAATCTATCTATCTATCTATCTATCTATTGTATTTACTTTAGCCTCTTCATATCTATCTATCTATCTATCTATCTATCTATCTACCGATCGCATTTACTTTATCCTCTTCATATCTATCTACCTATCTATCTACCTATCTATCTACCGATTGCATTTACTTTATCCTCTTCATATCTATCTATCTATCTATCTATCTATCTATTGCATTTACTTTAGCCTCTTCATATCTATCTATCTATCTATTTCTAGACCATGTTGCTCCATGATATGGGAAATAATGGTTCTTTATAGCTTCTTGTCTTTTGTTGTTCTTAGCACTCTTTTTTTCTTAAACATCATGTCCCTTCTAGATGTAAATAATCATGGCTTTCCACAGATTCCTTTTCTTTATTATTTGTAAATTGTCATGCATTTTTAGGAAAGATAATGGAGTGTTTTCGCATTGTCATCCCCATAATTTTTAATTCACCATTTTCTTTCTCTTAGACTGGTTTCCGCCCAACACTAGAGAGTCCAGTCTACCCTCTATTCAGTCCATAGCTGGGAGAGAAGAGATGGATTGATTCCCTTCCCAAGGACAAAAGTGCGAAAGTGAATGCAACTGACTAGGCTGGGATTTGAACTCGGTTCACCAATTCCATTTTCTTAGCAGTACATTCTCCTTAATGATCCTGCTTTTCCCTATATAGTATTTGTTCCTTCATACATTTATGCTAAGTTGTCAAGTAGGTAAATGACGATTTCTTTTTGCACTCTGCTGATCTTGCTTCCATTCTTTTGCCTTTAAATCTATATTGCCAAAAATAAAAGCTTACTACAGTTTTATAATGAATTATCAGGATTATTATATATTGATCTATTCAGACTTGTGCCTTCCTCTTAAGGACACTAGTCCAAACAAATCAATATATAATAATTTCTCACTGCAGAAACTGATCAGGTTATTTGGAGATAGTCATTAGCACATAAAACAGAAGTAGCAAACCAAGTTCAAATTTCACTTGTGGCAGTTTATAGTCACTCAGTACTAATGTTCTTGGAAAAGGTATGAACCCAATTTTCCCTACATTCTATATCTATAGTAAAAGGAGGTTCAAATTGATTTAACATTTGTCAGCACAGAACAGTGTAACTGAATTTTATCAGTGTTGTAATGTGTCTATTACTTAATTGACTTCAGTCACTCTTAGAGTAATGTGTCTATTACTTAGTTGACTTCGGTCACTCTTAGAGTAATGTGTCTATTACTTAGTTGACTTCGGTCACACTTAGAGTAAGTCCAGCTGCAGATTACTACTGTATTTTCTCAGACAACTGCTAAATAAAGCTTTTGCTGTCTCCCTTAGTCACACGTTCTATTTTCACATTTATACACATGCAAGCAAGTTACAAAAAGATGACCTCAAGATGCAAATTAAAAATCAAAGATACTAAAATCAAACAAGCACAAAAATTTAAATGTCTGGAAAGTGTTCTAACAGAGAACAGAAAGTGCGACACTTAGATCCTAAGACATTAGGATGGCCAAAGATTCATTCCAAAAACTGAGCAGAGTATTAAGACACAGAAAAATTTTGTTGGAAACAAAGAAAAGAATACTGAACTGTTACATGATATTTGTCCTCCTACATGGCAGTGAATACTGGAAAATCTCCTCAAAGATGAAGAAGAGACTTGAAGCAACAGAAATGTGGTTCTACAGAAAGATGCTAAGGATACCATGGACCAAACTTGTGAGCAATGATGAGGTTTTGGAGAAAATTGAAACAAAAAGGAAACTTATACTTAACATCAGGAAGAGAGAGTTGAAATTCCTGGGGTATGTAATGAGGAAGGAGTGCTTGGAAAATCTGATACTCAAAGATTGAGGAAAAAAAGGACAGAGGAAAGTAGCACATAACCTTGAATAAATAGATGATATAACAGGGTTTTGGAGAAATAACGTAAAGACAAAATGAATTAAGAGCTACAAGGGATAGGAAGAAGTGGAGGGCCAACTCGCTTATGTCCTGAAGGAACACGACACGTAAAAGAAGAGGGCTGATTAGGCTTGCTTAGTATTAATGTAATTGGGAAAGGCATGAATCGACTCCACCCTGTATTCTATAAGTGTACTCAATGAAGGTACAAGGTAGCAAAGCAGTTATTAGCATGGAAAATGGAATGAGCAAACTCTATTTAAATCTTGGCTGACACTGCTTCGGTTCAATTACTAATAATATTATTGGAAAAAGCATGAATCCATTTCTCCCCATATTCAGTCAGTCAGTTATGTGCCATATGTGATCTATACTTAGGCGATCATGTATCTTTTAATACATGACTAACAAGTCATATTTTTTCCCACAGTAGGTTGCCATTTCTTTCTGCAGTAGACCAGTTGCCATCCAAGGCTGTAGAACCTGGTCTGTCCTGCTATTTACCCATAGCTGGGGGGCAGAAGAAGAGGATTCATACCTTTCCCAAAGGTATTAGCATGTAAGTGAATGTAATGGATTTGACTGAAATTTGAACTCGGCTCTCCAATTCCTCAATTCAAGCTGCTATCCATTACTTCACCATGCCTCCTGTATTCAGTATATGTACTAAATGAAGGTGCAGGGTAGCTGCTTAGGTTCATTTAGAACTAATATAATTGGGAAAGGCATGAATCTACATCCCTGTACTATGCCCATCAAATATTTTGACACAAATATCTATATGATAGGTATGTAACTCTTTGAGCAAACTACCAAAGCAGGAATGTCTGTTAAATGCATAGACAACCTTGACATGGTCTATCATCAGTATCATCATTATCAAGTTATTTATTTCAATTCAACAGATATGAAATTCTTGGTAATGTATTGGATGTACATATGTTAATCATTAAAATTAAATGATGTCAGTTCCACAGTTTTGATTTCTATCTTACTTCTTTTTATTCAGGTCAAGCTAGATCGAACATTCATGAATCTATCATGCCAACCATCATGGTCCTGTATGAAGGTCAGAAAGTCATTAGGCTGGCATTCTGTGTCATAACATAGCTGGTCAATTTAGATGGTTGCTGGGTGACCAACATGTCATACTCCATGGTTAAGCATCCAGAGCAGTAGATTACTGGCAATATTTTGCTTTGCTTGCCATCAGTGTCCTGCAAAGTGCATTTTGTTTCCACGTAAGATTGTAGAAATATCAGGGATGGGCCCATAGAGCTGTGATAATGGCTTAATAAAATAACACCCTTAAGATTCTCACCAATACAAATTTGCACACTGTGTACAAACTTACAAACACTGAGTTTAATGTTATTTTTTTTCATTGTTATTCAATTATTTTTTTAGGCACCTACTTTTCTTAATGAAGCAACATCATCACACTGGCCATTGTTTTCATGTAATAAGAAAAAAAGTTTAACCATAAATTGCAAGAAGACAGAAGTTATGGTCATCAGCAAGAGAAAAAGCCTAATGTTTGAGTTACAAATTGGAGATACCATAATCAAGCAAGTACAACAATTTAAATATCTAGAAAGTGTTTTAACAGAAGACAGAAAATGCAATGTTGAAAACTGAAAGCACATTGAGATAGTCAAAGATGCCTTCCAAAAAGCTAAGTAAAGTATTAAAAAACAGGAAAATTTTGTTAGAAACAAAGAAAAGAGTACTGAACTGTTATGTAATATCTGTCCTTCTATACGGCAGTGAATGCAGGACAATCTCTTAACAGATGAAGAAAAGATTTGAAGTAACAGAAATGTGGTTCAACAGAAGGATTCTCTGAATCCCATGGACTGAACATGTGAGCAATGGTGATTTTTTAGAGCAAATGGAAACAAAAAGAAAGAGATAGTTAAAATTTTTAGGGCATGTAATGAGAAAAGAGGGCTTGGAAAATTTGATACTCACAGGACATATTGATGGCAAGAGTGTCAGAGAACTATTTGGCAATCTAGGAGTACACCAAAATTCATACAGTCAAGGCACCAAAGAAAAAAGCTCATCAAAACAATTGCCATGAAAATATTTATAGAAAAGACAGAAGGAAGCCATATCACTGTAGTGAGAAAGTGACTGAAGTAAAGATGCCAAGTTAGGATTGATTACAACACAAATATTTCTTTAGATTTTGTGAAGAATCTAGAGATATATTTCAGGAGCACCAGGCCAGATATGGCTGCAAGATTCAATGCACAGACAAATGGTAGATTAATAATTGAGCAAGATGGATTCTAACAAGAAAAATTGTTTGGTACAGCACATTGAATCAACTTCCATAGCAGTAGATGTAGGAATTAATTCAATATAATAACTCTACTTCATGTGAGTGGAAAATGTGAGACTAAGAAGGTGCAAAGAGTTGCACTCCTGGAGATTAGCATCAGCCATACTGATGGAAGATGGGAAAAGTTCTGCATGCTAGTTAACCATCTTTCCTCATAATGTATCCCAGGAATTTTGACTGTTTCTTTCTGGCATGTCTTTCTAGTTATAATTTTCTGTTTTGATTGACAAATTCTGTTATAACCAGTAATACATCAGCAGTTAACCTAGATAAACAAAAGCCATATTTTTATCTGAAAGAAGGCTGTGTGAAAGGAGATGATTAACCAATTCAGTGTTAATTAGAGCCTATAGTACCTTGCCAAAAAGAGGTAAAAATACTAACAGGATGATAATTCAAGGGATCAGAAGGTGCAGAGTTTTTAAAGACAGGAACTACAGAAGAGGATTTCTAACAAGCTAGAAAGCAAGAAGCAGCAAGGAATTTCTGGAATCTTTGGAGAGAACTGGAGCCAGATCAAGATCACATTTCTTTAGGACAATTACAAGAATACTATCAAGTTTGTAAACCTTGTGGTGGGGACTAGTTTATAGATGATAACAAAAACCATGGACAGAGTTATATGAAGAAAATTGTTTATACTTCACTGCCATACAGAAGAATAGATATGACATAGGAGTTCAGCACTGATTCTAAGGACATTCATTAACAGTCCACATTAAACAACATCTCCTTTGTTTCAAGTGTTATCTTCATCTATGAGGAACAAGATTCACTGCCATATAAGTGAATACATATAACATCGCAGTTTGGTCTTTTTTTTCTTTGTTTCCAATAAAACTGAGAACAGTGGTAGAAATCTTAATAATGATAATAATGATATTCATGAGATAGCTGATGATGATAGTGTTGGAAATTATAAGAATAGAAGTGGATTGATGATGATCATGTTATTAGGGTTGATGATAGGAGTAATGACAGTGGTTATGATAATGTCAAGAGAGCTGAAATAATTCCATTTCTGAAAGTGACAGAGTGCATATTTAACCATGTTTTTCTACAGTTGCAGTTCTCAACTACCAAGAATATTTCCCTTTTCCCATTGTTAATTAGGAAAAATGAATAAAGTAGTGGTAAAAATAATATTGATATTTTTTATTAAGAAATGTTTAAATTCAATGTTTGATTCTTCAGTTGTGCAGTGTAAGCATTTCAACATATATGATTTTCAATTCAAAGCATTTTATTGTTTTGAAAACAGGTTTTTGATTGATTAATTTGTTTTTTTTGTTACAGCTTAACATCTTTTTGTAAGACTCTTTAATTATGTCACCCCAAGCAAAGCAATAAAGACACAAGGGGTTAGTGAATGTGAAAGAATAAGAAAACATTATTATAAAGGGAAAACAATAAAAGAGAGGAATCAAGATAATGATTGACATTGCATTTAAATTTTTAAAGATCAAAGTTTAAAGCCAAAATATATTTTTGTATTGTAAGAATAATTCTTTTTTTTTTCATTTTTTTGCAAATAATATTGTATTTAACATTTTTTTAGAGATAATGGTTTTTAGATACTAGTAGTCCTATTTAACCCATAGCTGGGGGAGAAGAGATGGATTCACACCTTTCCAAAAGGTATTTGCACATAAGTGAATGTACTGAACCAGACAGTAATTTTTGCTCAGCTCTCCAGTTTCTCATTCTAAGCCATTATCCATTACACCACCCATACATCTAAGCTTTCAGCACCTGGTCTTCCCAAGAAGTTACCCATCTAGGTACTGACCAGGCTCAATATTGCTTAACTTTAGTGATTGGATAAGAACTGGTGCTTCAACTCAGTATGGCTGTAAGCTCTATGAATACTGAATTATTTTTTCTTTTTAAATAGCAATAGCCATTTTTTTAAAAGTTCTTAAGGTTTCCTCTAGAATAAACACTTCTAATTATCATTTACAATGTTTTTCAAGCCACGTTTTTGAAAACAAACCTGATCAATTTAAGCTTTTTAAATGCTTCTTTCTTTTTTTATTTAAAAATAATGCCTTGCAAAAATCTCCCTTTTGCCAATTTCTACTTCACAGAGTAGCAATTATCTTTTTGGACAAGCTGAAGAAAAGATTTTAAATAGCAAATTTGAAGAATGATTCCACAAAAAGTCTTTCCAATTTCTTCTTAATTAAATCAAATTGCCTCTCACCACAGATTCAGAATCTTTCATGTGCAAACAATTAACACAAAAGAATAAAGAAAAATTTCCACAGGAAACTTGCCTGGAAATTTAAACTTTAATACATTAGATAGGCAATTGAGCATGTTGCTGAGCAGTTAAAATTTAGACTCAAGATCAAATCTCACCATGGTCAGTTTGTCAAGGAGGTGATTTCTTAATGATGATATTGGCTTGAAAATATAAATTCAGCATGTATTACAATTGGAAATTGCCTGTAAGCCATATCATGGGTTGATCCCAGCATTGTGAATAAAATTGGATAGATGAAACTCTTCACAAGCAATTAACGATTGTATTAGTATGAAATACTAGATTGTACTTGGTAGGTAGGGCTCATCATTTTACAGTTGAAATAGTTAGATGTAAATGTAAGTTTTATGCTAATAATTTCTTCTATCACACTTTTCACTTTCCCTTCCATCTTCTTATTTCCCACTCAAATTTGATCTTCAAAAATTTTAATGCAATGTCAATTGTTATATTCTGTCTTCTTAATTCTTCTTCTTTTATTGTTTTCTCTGTTTGATAGTGTTTTCTTTTTTCTTATAACACTCAGTAAGTCCTTGTGTCATTGTGGCTTTATTGTCTTACTTGGGATGAAATGATTATTAAAATAGTCACAGGTCATCATGACTTAATTGATTCAGCATACTTGTTCAACCACTGATCTTGACACATTATACACTCTCTCCCAGAGACAGTAATTAAGGTCTCAGCACAGTTACAGTGTAAACCACAAGTTAGCTCTGTGGGTGTTGAAAAAACATAAATACACCTGAGTAGGCATCCACAACAGTGACTAGCTAGCAATCCTAGGATACTTCATAATCTCCTGTGACTGATAAATGCCTACTACTAATGCATTAAAATGAGCATTTAAAATTCTTTTAATTTTGGTTGCATAAATCTAATCAAAATGATATTGCAATGCTTGAACAGTAATTATAAACAACATTACATTATTTTTATTATTATTAATTATCCTTATTACTTTATTTTCATATTAATTATTAATTGGTTTTTAGTGCAATAAGTAAACAGCATAGATCAAAAAACTTACATTCTTTTTATCTTTGTGAAGTTTGGTTAGCCATACCAGCTGTTCTTACTAAGATACAGGGAGCTCTGTGGTGGACAGAAGATTAAATCTAACATTTAAACCTATCCTTCATTTTTCCCAGATCTCTCTTGTTTTATGCTAGTAGTATTAGTTGCAACAGTTAGGACCCACCATGCTATGTGCACTGAGTTGACTCATCTTCATTCCCTTAATATTCCATTAGTGAGGAAGAAATTCCACTGAGAATTCTTCTCCATAATTGCTGCATTGTGGGACAAGACTCCTGTAAGGATGACTACTAGTGAAAATTAATAATTATAATATTGACAAGGCTTTATTTAAAAACTAAAAATAGATATGGATTTCTTTTTCAGGATTAATTCTTTCCCTATATCATACCAATTTGCAACTGATGGGGCAAAAAATAGAGACAAGTGATATTTAAAGAACAATTGAAAAATACACCAGTTCCTGAATGATCACCAAAGTTAAGCAATGTCAAGCCTGGACATTACCTAGATGGTAGACTGTTTGGGAATATCAGGTAAGCTTGGATGTGTGGCTGGTGTAATTAGTAATGGCTCAGAATTGTTAATCAGAGAGCCATGTTCCAATACTCTTGGGAAAGGTATGAATCCACCTCTTCTACTCCTAGCTATGGGTTAATTAGTAAGATCACTAAACCATTATTATTTCCCCGCCAAAAAGTGTTGATGAGCCATAGAAAAAGGATCAACCAACAAACCAACCAATAATTGGATTGATGTTTACATGAGATAATGTGTGTGTGTGTGTGTGTGTGTGTGTGTGTGTGTGTGTGTGTGTGTGTGTGTGTGTGTGTGGTTGTGGGTGGGTGGGCGTGTTTTGATGAATTTACAATGGTCAGAAAATGAGATCTAACATTTTTAACTTTCTGAAGATCAATCATAAAAAGCAATCAAAAATCCAACCTTGGATTAAGACCAATTTGCCTGTATTGAGAGATTAATCAACAGACTATTCAAATACTTCAATTCTTCTAAGCTAAATAAAGCAAATAACCCCCCGCCATATTGTTCAGCTTTTTTTTTTTAAATAAAGCACCAGAAGAAAGCACCAGAATAGGGTTCTGCTATAAATAAGGATAAAATTCCAGTTAATTCTTTTTTTATAAGTCAAATAATTACAGTTTTTGTTCCCAAAGATAATTTTTAAAGATATTCCATTAATTCCAGTAGCAGACTAGAAGATTCTAATAATGGAAATCTTTTTCTAATAAAAGAAATCTTCCAAAAATTTAAATAATACATGAGTTATTTACCATATTTATAGCATATATGACCCATGGGCATATAAAAACATCCCCCATTTCAGCAAGGAATATTAAGGTAAAAATTGTTGAATGTTATTGGAAATTCATCCATATTCTCTGTTTGGTCCAATCCAAAATAATTTTCTTTTCATTTGTAATAATTGTTTATATAGCAACCAGTATTTCAACATGATGTGTCCATAAGCCCAAAGATGACGTGTTCAGGAAGGTAATTTAAGTAATATATGCATATATTTTCATTGCTTTATTAATATTATAGTCACTAAAAATGAACTTGAATAATGAAAATAACAAATTTCAGCATTATGGCCAAAAAAAAATATTATGTCAAAAGGACATTTATTCACAATACACCACTATTATTACATACACTTTTGACTCCCTCTGCAATTTACAAGATTATAAAAAAAGTCCCTGGTGGCTTTTTAAATATGACTTGTTGGTTGGTTGGTCTATTGTTTTTGTATATTGGTATATCAACATGTATGGGTTATTTAATGCTAAAATTTAAATATTTTGCTTGCAATTTTTTTTTTTTTTTGGAGATAATAATGGCTTAGTGAAACAGGTCTTACTAATTAACCCACAGATGGGAGAGAAGAGGTGGATTCATATCTTTTCTAAGGGAATTTATGCATAAGTGAATATTATGAACCCAACCAGAATTGGAAATCGGCTTTCAATTAACAATTACAGGCCATTATCATTTATACCACCCACAAATCCAAGCTTACAGTACCTAATATTCCCATCTAGTTACTGACCAGACTTGATGTTGCTTAACTTGTGGACATTACATCAGGAGGATTTTCAGCAGCAGGATCATTTTTTTTTATATATATATATATATATATATATATATATATATATATATATATATATATATATATATAAATAGAAAGCTCAGAAATACTAGAACCCAACCTTCATCCAAATTCAACTATGGAATGTTCAGTCATGTATTTCGAAATTAACCTTTCCGTATACTGTTCAATCATTGCAATAACTTTTGGTTCAAAACCAAAAAAAGTTAAGAAGATGTGAGTGTCTTTTATTGCTACATTCAACAATACCTGCATAAAAGCAATCTTACTACCTAAGTACACATTCAAATATATATATATAGATAGATCATTTTTCTTGCCAGAATCTATCGTACATATTTATAAGTCTACCATTTGTTCATGCATTGAATATTGCAACCACATCTAATCTGGCATCTTAGCTTCTGTCACTTTCCCACTGCCATAATGTAGCTTTCCTGTACTTTTTTTATAAATATTTTCTGATGAGTCACATTGGAGTAGTGAATAGCAGCTTGGATTAAGGAATCGGAGAGCCAAGTTCAAATTCCAGTTGAATCCATTGCATTCACTTGTGTGCTAATACCCTTGGGAAAAGGTATCAATCCTCTTCTTCTCCCTCCATCTATGGGTAAATAACAGGACAGGCTGGGTTCTATAGACTTGGATGGCAGCTGGTCTAGGAGAAAGACAACTCTGAATTCAAAACCTGCAGAGTGTCGTTTGTAGGCCTTGTGGCATGCAGTGTACCAGGTCTCTGTATTTGGCCCTTCAAAAAGTGTGGTTGGTTCCGCACAAAGCCTTCACCACTATAATCAAATCATATGTGATGATGTCTGGGCTGTCAGTTCCTAGGAACTGAGCTACTTGACCCTCATGTGTCAAATATACGGAATAGTCAACCAAATATATATATATATATATATATATATATATATATATATTACCCAAAATCACTATTCCTTAACTTTTATCAAATACACAGAATGTTTATAAAAGTAAAAGTTATCTTTTAGGCAACACTATCACAAGCAGAAATTTGCAACTGACAGACTCATATCATTCAAAAAATAAAATAAAAAATCTCATTTAAATTTTAAAGCTCTCAAGCATTATTATTAAAAGAAATAAACAGCTATACCCAAACTACATTAAAATGGATGCCTTGCAAATGAATTTCTTTTTTATATAGATTTAATTTCTATTTGTTCACTGTGCAATTAGACATTGCCCAATAATGATTCATAGACTTGATTTTGATAAATATTTATGGCACTATTTATTTAGTTATTATTTATTACATTTAGGTAGAAAAGGTTTGAGACCTTTTAGATTCTGAAAGCTATGTATGTTCTATATTTGATAGTAAACTGAATCATATCAACATAGATACAGGTCTACATGAAGGAACTATTTACACATATATACAAATTTTCCTTCTACTACATGAAAGAAAGAAAGAAAGAGAGAAAGAAAGAAAGAAAGAAAGAATAAAAATAGGAAAAGAAAGAAGAGAATGAGGAAAGATAGAGGAAGAAAAAAGGAAAAAAGAAAATGGAAAAATAAGAAAGAAAGAAAGAAAGTGAGAAAAATAAGAAAGTGGGGCAAGATAAAGAAAGAAAAAGTGAAAGAAAGGAAGAAAAAGTGAAAGAAAGAAAATGGAAAAAATAAGAAAGAAAAAGGAAAAGATGAGAAAGAAAGAAAGAAAGAAAGAAAGAAAGAAAGTGGAAAAAGGAAGAAGAAAGTGGGGAAGGATAAAGAAAGAAAAAAGAAATAAAGTGGAAAAAATAAGAAAGAAAGAAGGAAAAAAAGAAGAAAGTGGAGAAAGGAAGTGATAAAATGGCTTGAAAGAAGTGCCAAAAAAAAAACAGCTATAAATATAAAACATGAACCAATAAAAGAAAAAGAAAATAAATGAGGAAGAATAAAAGTAAAGTTCATTAATTCAAGTAATGGGATAATAAAAAACCTGTATGTTAATCCATAAATTATGCTAGGACAAACCCTAGTAATAAGCATAAGAAGTAAATATTAACTTCCATTTCTTTTCCCAGCATGCATTGGCACTTATCTCATTGATACATAAACATGAAAACTTCTAGACACAATAGCTTAGACATTCAGATATGTACACACAAACACAGTGAAAAACAATAGCTGAAGAAATATAATCCAAAGCCCCAAGCAACAATACAAACTTTGCCTTCAAGATCCATAAGGAATGAAAGAATGAAGAAAAGGAAAAAAAGGAGAAATAAAGAAATTAATGATATGTACTGATATCTGTATGGACTGTGACAAAAGCAAGCATTATTTTTTCCTTGTAACAACATAGCAAACATGACTGTCTTTTTCTCTCATTCAGTAAATGTTTTTTTTAACTATGAAAATCTTCAATGCATGGGTGGGAATGGCCCTCCAGATCTTCCTGTCCTTTGTAGCTGTTAATAAGCTTTGTCTTTTTGTTATTTCTCCCAAACCCTGTCCTATTATTTATTTACTCAAGCTCATCAAGTACATTACATGCTGCTTTCCCTCAATTTGTCCTGTGAGTATCAGTTTCTCGAAGCACTCCTTCCTCATTGCATGCCCCAGAAATTTCAGCTGCTTCTTCCTGATGTTAAGTATAAATTTCTTTTTTGTTTCCATTTTCTCCAAAACCTTGTTGTTCACATGCTCAGTCTATGGTCTCCTGAGCATGTAGAACCACATTTCTGTTGCTTCAAGTCTCTTCTTCATCTATGAGGAGATTGTTCAGCATTTACAGCCATACAGGAGAACAAATATCACGTAACAGTCCAGTTCTCTTTTCTTTATTTATAATGAAATTTTTGTGTCTCTTAATACCCTGCTTAGCTTTTGGAATGCATCTTTGGCCATCCCTATATGTCTTTGATTGGTTTGATGATTAAAAGTATTTGCTATTCATAAAGTTTGCTTATTTGTCAAATTTTTGTCATTAAAAAGAAAATTATTTTTTACCATAACATGACCCATATAGTTGAACACATGCACACATATTCAAAATATGATATACTATTGTGGAAGGGGGGGGTGACGAGATAGCCATGTCAAAATGTTCAAAACATTCGCAAAAGAAAAGGAAAAGAAGAAAGCAGATGAAGAGTAATAAAATAATTTTATATTCACAAATTCTCAATGTGATTTTACAAAGAATGTTGTGAGTTGCTAAGTTTCTTTTCAAGATAAAGCTTACTTGATGTTGCATTTAAATTTTTGAACTTGTCCTCAATGTTCAAAGTAATAATAAAAAATATATTTTAGAGAAGGCAAATTTTCTACACGTCATATATGCAGTAGCATGCAGAATGACAGTGTAGCTTCAGGCATCCAATCAAAGAATGAAATAAAAATTTACTTTATATTTAATTTGAATAAAGTGTTTATTTCATGTTTCATCTGGTTTTACATATTCCAAATGTCTTCCTTCTTCATATTTCTCAGTACTACACCCCCCTCCCTTAATTGAGTCTTAGGGGTATACAATCAAGGAGTTGGCACAAGGCATTACCAAACATCTGCACATCACTGCTTATACAAAGAATGGTTGAGTTTGGTTCCTTCTTGGAGGTTTCTACTTATCCAGTTCCCAAACAGTTCTGAATATTATGCAACTTTATGCATTTTCTACATTTTAAAGGTGGAACTGAATAAATAAACCAAGATGAATAAAATTTTTTTCTCTTGTCTCATTCTTCTCCGTCATGTGTCTATTCAGGACACATGCCCTCCACAATTTCCAGTCTATTAAATGTACAAAACAATAAAGCAAATCTCACAGTCTGAAGAAACTTGCAAAATCATCAATGTTCAATACTTTCAGAATTCAAGCATATTAAATTCAACTTTTTCATTGTTTATTAATATTTTTTTTTCTTTTTTCAACAGGCAATCTACTTCACTTAATATGATTACACAATCATAAATATTTGTACAAATATTCTTGACTGTATATTGTACATTTTTCATATGTAGAGAATTGTCCAATATTCTGGGTCAGTTGAGTTCAATCTGTTTCTACATAATAGAAACACTGACAAGCAGCTACTAAAACTAATACCAATATGTATGCATCATATGTCATTTCAGTTCTTTGGAACTGACACAAAATCAGACACAGTAATTCTAAGTTTACATTTATTCTCGTAAGATTACCAAGCACTGTCCAAATTCTGGAAGCATTATTAATTTCACATCCAGAAACTTGGTAGCAAACATCATAATGGAATCAGATAGAATAAAAGGAGAGGAAAGAAATGAAATGAGAGGGAAGCAATAAAATGGTAAAAAAATGCCCTTGATGTAAAGAAAATAATTAGTCTGTAGAGTTTAATTGGCAAAGTCAAAAAGACATTTTAATTAAAAAATTTATAGAAACTTTGAACAGTTTAATTAAAAAGTGATAAGGACTAAAATACATTCATACAATTGAGTGTATATGATGGAAGGTAAATGTAAGTAAAACTGAATATATACGGGGAGTGCTGAAAAGTTCATAGCCTAATGAAGAAACACTTCCTCACACTTGATAATTTCAGTTTTCAGTCATTTTGATATATTTTAGGAAAACAGTCAAACTTTTTCAGCACGATCTCATATATATATATATATATATATATATATATATGAATTGGGATCAAATACAGATCGAATATGGATTAGAATCCAACAGAATGATAGAATAAAGAACAACTAGAAAGCGTTTATCAAAGTAACATATTTTACTTTTATTAAAACTTAACAAGTTAAATGCATGTGAAGCCTGCTTAAAAAATGAAAATCAAACAACACAAAAATAAAAATACCAGAATTTCTTTTTCTTCATATCTCATTCTGTGATGAAGCCATGAAACATGGTAAATTGATAAACATTTATATATACACATACATACATACATATATGTATATATATATATATATATATATATATATATATGTATATATATATATATATATATATATATATATATATATATATATGGCTGAAAATTGTGTCCAAACATAAAACAGAATTTACTGCTTAGGTACATTTTCATATATATATATATATATATATATATATATATAAAAAAGTGGACATTGAAGTCAACACCCAGAGGCAACAGTCTATTTCATGCTAAATACAATTGTCAGACCATAATGATTATGTTTAGCATGAAACAAACTATCACCTCTAGGTGTTGACTTCAATAAACAAAAATAAATAAATAAAATGTTGTCTATATGTTTGCATTGTGTTTCATAAAAGAGTTATTTAATGTTGACAGTGTTGTGTCTATATGTTTGTATTGTGTTTTCTTAGGTAGCTTTTGATTGATGTGTCTTTGCATGTTGTTGGATCTTATGCTGTTTGTATTGCATCTTCATACATTAATTCATGTCGTCATATTTGTTGATTTTTATTAAAGAAAACATGGTGCATGCATATAGACACAATCAATACATAAATAAAACTCTTTGATAATGATTTATAAAAGCGAAAAGTGCTTAGAAGTCATTAGACATGTGATCTTTAAAGTTAACCTGGAAACCAGAAAAACCAGAAAAATAGTCTGAGTAAATTTTGCCTACAAACTATGCTTTTATAACTCTATCAGTGCTCCTGCTATATATTTAGAGATTCTTGATAAAATCCAAAGAATCCATAATGTTATAGGCCCTGACCTGGCATCTTGGCTTTAGTCACTTTCCCACCACTGTAATATACTTTCCCTGTGCTTTTTCTATAATAAATTTCATGGCAGTTGTTCTGATGAACTTTTCTCTATGGTACCTAGACATTACAAATTTGAGAACAGTACAAGATTGGCAACAAGGTCCCTTCATTTTACAGTTGAAATGACTAGATGTAACCATACGTTCTATGCTAACAGTTTCTTCAATTGCACTTCTCACTTGTGGAATGCTCTACCAGCTTCTTGCTTCACAGTTAAAATTGATCTTCAAAAATATAAATGCAATGTCAATCATTATCTTCTGTTTTTTTACTTCCTGTCCTTTTATTGTACTCTCTCCTTAATACAGGATGTCTCACAAAAAAACAGGAAATTTTAGATTTACTATATGATGAAAAAAAAATAGTAATATATAAAAAAATAACTATATATTTTATTATATGAATGAACTAAAAAAATTAACTAACATTTAAATTTTCTAACCATTTGTTATTCCAGGATGCTGCAGCTATCAAATTTTCAACACAAGTTACTTTTTAAGAAAGAACATCCAACTTTGGGATTGAAAAAATTCCCAAGAAATTTTGCCACAATTCTTTAGTTTGAACACCACATCTAATATGTGTGTTTTTGTTCTTTTTTAAGTGACTAAATTTCTATCCTTTGCTTAATAACGGTAACAAAAATTCTAACAAATACATAAACTGTACCAAATTTCCTGTCTTTTTTTTGGAACACTCCGTAGATTTTTTTAATATTCTGTAACACTCAGTAACCACTTGTGTCTTTGTGGCTTTATTGTCTTGCTTGGGGTGAAACAGTTGAACAAAAACAGAAAAATGGTCTTTTAAACAAAGAAATTTGTTGGTCTTCAACCAGAACAGCATAAATTAAAAATTTCTGCCCAAATATACACAATATCTATTTATCCACATATATAATAAGAAATAAAATTAAATGTTCAACTTATTTGTCACTTCTCAAAGTTTTATTTTACTACAAGGCACACTGATGAGTGAAAACTCAGAGTAAGGACAGATAAATTGAACATTAAATTTTCTTTGTTACTATTAGGACTCTACTGCATGATATTGAGCACTTTTATTGCAAAGACTGCTTACCTTACAAGCATTATCTTCCAGAAATACACTAGTTAACCTTTTCTTTTTGTATTTTGTTTTGGGAAACATTTTTTTTATTGCTCTCTCTCTCTCTCTCTCTCTCTCTCTCTCTGTGTATATACAT